ATATTGATTTATACATTATATGATATAATAATTATATTATATTATAATAACCTTAACCTTTATGCTTCATAAAGACGCTGTAGCTAATGGTTTTAAATATACATAAAAAAAAGATAGAAAATTACGGTTAGAAATAGAACTAGTTCGCGTACACTCAACCAGACGAACGGACATGGATCTCCATTTCCTTCCTGATGATTCAAAATTCCTGATACTCTTAACACCAAGCCCCTGTTCATGGTATAATAAAACTTTCTTATTTCGTATTGCATAACAGTTGGGCTGAAAATGTTGTATGATGATAAGTACATGATGGTACAACTAATAATGAATCGAATAATTTTTAGTCAGCCCTTACCTTCAGAAGATACGTGTACAAATTTGACAGCAATCGAACTATTAGTTTATGAGTATTGTGTTAGTTTACAACAAAAGGATCAAAATTAATTTCGTGTGTCTATAAAGTATTGCTTTTTGTTGAAGACAGGATTTGGATTGATCAACATTATTTCGACTCTGCACCAGGGAAATCAACTACTGAAGTCATTTACTACGAGAATGAAATGGGCACCGAGGACTACTCGTATAATGAAAGTAGACATCCTAACGAAGCTGTTAAAACAAAATTTTTGCGGAAATATGTGACAATGAAACATGGTTATATGTATATGATAGCATTACGGAGACCATGAGATGACTTTTGTATATTTACATACCACTACAGGACCCGTTCACGCTTCACTGTGGTTGATACATAGGTAATACTACTACCACCATCTAAATGATTTCTATTAGTTAATGAGATATAGCATTTTTGCGAAGAAACTTATGTTAGTTTACAAAAAAATTTATCATAAAGCATTTCGTGTGTTAAGAAGCATTTTTTTTTTTGGAAAATACTGTAGAATTTGGGCTCAGAAAAATTCACCCTTGAAAAGATGTTATCTCAGCTGGAAACAGGCGAAATAAGCACCGAGGACAATGATGCTCTAAAGAGGCGAAGGCTTTGTGCACAGTGGGTTCTCGCAAATTCATAATCCAACAAAAACAACGAATAACTGATTCTGAGAAGTGTCATCAGTCTTTTGGAATGCACGTGGTGTAATACATACTCAACGACTGATTACTGAGCCAGTTATAATCTATTTCACTGCGTATTTGGTTGTAGTTCTTTTCTACTATTCCAAATACTTAGCAATTGTATTATTTATGAGGAAGAATCTGTTTAAAATTGTACTCATCTGGGCGTATTCAGTACCTTCGCTTTGAACTCCTTTTTGAGTTGGAGGCCTTCGGATAATAAAAATTCTGAAAGATTTTACATTACTCATCACACGATAATGGATTTGTATTGGTGGCATGGCCTTCCTTTTTTACTTTTTTCAATTCGATTACAAAATATTATAACACTAATTTTTTGGTTGCTTGCAATCATTGTCCTTTTGTATAAATAAATGGATTTCAACGACTCTTAGATATGGAATCAAAGATATTTATGCGCTATTTAATATAAAAAATTTAAAAACATAAGTATAAAATTCATTATAACTTATATATTCCTCAAATACCATAAGTCAAGGGCAACTATGTGTATGCACTTGTGCTCATATAATTAAGTCATTCAGTACTTTTTTACAATATTTAAAAAAAAATTTTATTTTGTATGTTATAACCTTTACATGTATGTATGTATATCGCATGAGAAAAACGTTCCGTTATCGTAGAAATAATGGCGATTTACATCGCATTTAAATATTTTCATTTCGGAGAGTTTTTTTTATAAATTTTACGTTTTTCCAGTAAAACTGTGCTCACATACATAATTATTTAGCGGTATTAAATTTTATGAAAAAAATTTCCGGGGTAGAAAACCAAAAAAGACCACCCGTTTTGATGACAAGATCCTGGTTAGGCTTAGTAAATCGGATCCATTTTTAATTTCCACAGAAATATTTGCTCAATTAGAGGAACCATGATGTACAAATATCAGCGCAAACTGTACGAAGACGACTGTAAGAAAATTCAATAAATTGTCGCTTAGCGAGACGAAAACCTAAAGTTTCGAAAAAAATATAGAAAACCGAAAAGCGTTTGCTAAAGACCATATTTGAAAGGACTCTAAATGCTTGAATTTGGTAGTCTGGAGTGACAAATCCAAATTCCAAGTATTCGGCAATGATAGAAAACTATATGTAAGACGACTCCCTTGGAAAGAACTTAACACGAAGTACAATAAAAAAAAAAAATACATGATGGGTCATCGGTGGTGGTGTGGGTTGCTTCACGCCTTCAAGCGTTGGTCCGATTGTTTAAATAGACGGGAAAATTACCTGAGAAATGAACAAGGCTTGAACGCAATATTTTGTATGCTAAAAGTTAAATATGTATAAGTATTCTGTTTAGGACTGAATTAAAATTTATTATATTCTTTGAAAAAATAAGTTTAATTTCTGTACTAAAAAATTTGCTTGGATGATAGTTTCATATAATAGTGGCGTGACTTAATTATATGAGCACAAGTGTATGTATATATTTTCTAGATCTGGAGGACCTCCTCTATCCGTTAATACCCATTTTAACCCCGAAATCCCAGCACAACTTTGTGTGAGTAAATACTCCCTTAATTATTTAACATGAAAAAATTTAATATCAGCACAAGTGTCTTATTATACTTACTTGTTGCAATTGTTTCAGTAATCTCGACTTATGCGATTCGCTCCATGTGTTCGAAGAGAAATAGCGTAAAATCGGCATGACGACAATTACTCAGTCAATATTTTTCTTAATGACACGTGTAGAATAACCGAATCAAGCGGTTAAGTCAACAGAACGATACCTTTATGACGCGCTGTTTCACAGCAACTGGCAATTAAATATAAATTTATGTCTGCACCTCCCAATATTAAACTATGTTGTTATACATACATATATACATACACATATGGTATGTTTAGGTTGTAATTTTTTTTTCAGAGGTTATCAGCAAAAGCAAAACAAATACAGAAAACTAAAATTGTATGTCAGTCCAGCGATTATCAATACCTTATTTGCATATTTCGCTTACGATACTATTTAATTTAAAAGATCGATGCTGATAACAAATTAATGAAAATATTTTCATTATAACTTGGCAATTGCATACAAAATAAATTAAATGCAGGACTGTGATATAAATAAGCAGAATCTACATCATTGTATAAACCTAGGCTTATACAATATCTACATTACATACTGGTTAATGAATATTCAGCTAGTAACAAGAAGAAGAGTTCTATCATTCTTGATTTTTGGTACGCGGTGAATAAACAAGAATGAAAGAAATCTATATTCACAAACTATTTGCAAACTCACTATAACACAGTAATACAATTACACTATCGTAATATCCATTTATATTGTTATTAGTGTTATGAAATAGATATTCGTGTTCAAGACTGAATAAAATCATGCTAAACCATGATAAAATCATAGGTTTTAAATGAAAGAAGTGTTTTGATCCCGTGTTTTGGTTTTGTAACATGGATGAACAAAGCTTTGAAAAATCAGATGCGACGTAATCTTATAAAAACGAATAAACCGATTGTTATAAAATCAATCCGACTTCACAATATTTTATATACGAATAGGTCTTTACGATGATGAACATGTACGATTCTGTTTGATAATGAATCTGACAGCTAATTCCTTGCCATTATTGCTTCACTCATTTTAATTGAAAGTATGTATATGTATATATGTATGTGCATAAGGAATAAATATAAAAAAAAAATGATGATTAACAGAATCAAACGCGGTCATCTAGTTCGCCTAATTTCATGATGATTTAATGCTATGGTGTTATTAAATGTTTTGTCAACTTATACGTAGAATCACTTGCAATCCACTCTTCTCCACTAAACAAGCTAGTTGTGAGATTTCCTAAACACTTTAGAATCGTGGTAGCTTCCTGGATTGCCCACTTCTGCATGTTATATGCGTAGCTTATGGTCACATACGACTTGCAATTTGATACTCTCTCTGAATATACTCTATTCGTTGCAGAGAAAAATACACTTCATGATTTTTATTCGGCTTTTCGGCCAGTTTAATCCAATGCAATATGATAATTCGCAGAATATTTGGAAAACAAATTTCCGGCGTTCTGCCGGTCCAGGCCAATGAATGAATCGGGGTAATTTACTCAAAATTGCCGAAAACTCCTTTGGTGATATTGGTCAATGTACCTCCATCTCCCACACCAAAAGTTATAGCGATTTTACGTAGAGAAACACTCACCCGATGAACCTAATCGTTCATTTCATTAGAAAATATTTCTAGGAGATGAGCGAATTGGCATTTGCTGACGCGCAGCATTTGTAAAAATCTTCCATCGTCAAAGCAACACAGAACATTTTCTTGCCAATGAATAGATTTCGGAACATGTAGTCCATTTCCCCGCCTACTACAGATGATTAATGTTATATCCTCTAGCAGTTCATCTAGGACTTCATCCATTGAATTGTAACACTGTTCAGGGCGCAAGATATCTGCAAATTTTATACAAAGAATTTTTTGAACCCTTAAAATTCGGATTATTTAATATGCACATACCTTCTATAAAGTCCACTTTCTGAATAGCAGAACTTATTTTAAATTCGATTATTGTGCTTTTTAAACTTTGTTTAGGCATTTTATAAGTAGGAATTTCATTGAACTAAAATGGTAAACAATGAACAGCTGTTTGTGTAAAAATAAGCAAATAACCATACATAGGATGTTCACGGATCATAGAGGTTATTTTTAATCTAATAATCACATAACCCGAATATGTAATACATTGAACACATGCTTTAATCAAAACACCTCAATATGTATAATAAAAACTAGTTCCTTTTTCAAAATATAACAAATTCTAAAAATTATAATTTTAATAAAGTTATAAATTTTCTTTTAGAACTCAGTGCTCGATTTTGTGACAGTAGCGTTTTTGCTTAGACACCCCCAATAATAATATTCCGAAATTCTTGTTTTTAATCGCATCTATTATATGTGAATATGTTTTGCAGCTTTAGCAGCTTGCACACTGATTTCATCCATACTTTTACGAGCACTTTCAGTCATATCATCTAATGAGTGTTTTGTTTTCATTAAGAAATCATCAGCAGACTCGGCAATACCCTTAACTTCTGCGTTTATTCGTCCAATTACCCATTCAAGACCTTGACGACCTTTGCCAGCGTTCATACTTATAGTGGATGTTAGCATATCTTCCATATAGTGACACAATGGAACGCCTTGCACACTGACGGATGCTTCCTGTTTAAGTAGAGTTTTACTTGAATCCGTTGGATGTGGTTCGTAATAGAGGACTTCATCAACCGAAATGTGCCGACAGAAAGTTAAGTTAATGGTTTTGAGAACCATTTGTTTACGTTCCGGGTCTACAGTAGAGCGTTCACTTGCAAAACATGTTTTGGCAGTACCAATCAGTGAATTTGTCCATTTTGGGAAATACCACTTCGACTGAACAAGGCGGTGTGTGTGCAGCACTCCGTCTACCACTCTACGCTCTACAACATCTGTCCCAATTATAGATGGTGTCATCGGATTAGGATATTTTCGCCATGCTGCCTGTGTAACCGTTTCCCATGGGTGGTTGAAAGTGTGCTCCGATGTCCATATCTTCATTATGCAAGTTTAGATGTGAATATGTGGGCTTCAGTTAGTCGTTTCGCAATAAATTTTTGCCTAGGGCTACAAATGATTCAGTCGCCTATATTAGAAAAAAAGGAATATTCCAAAAGTTATTAAACAATCACATTCAATTTAAAGTTATGATTTGCTCCATAAAAGTGTTAGAAAACTAAAACAATTTGATGTAAATAACCTTTGGCTAAAATTATGTAGCGAACTAATTGCCCAAGTGTCAAACAAAGCAGTATGGATCTCAAAAAAATTTTCAACGTCTAAACAAATGTTGAATACATTAAACATACCCTATTGACTTTTTCTATTCATGGTGATGCCGTTTCATTACATTTAAATCAATCGATCAAGTGGCATCTACCCATTCTTGTGTTTTTGTCACATACCACTTTCATCGTTTGCTTGACAATTCATACCTGGGGTCCTATTCTGTAACTCATTCGAAAAAAATTTACTCGAATTCGGATTTTTATATCCTATAACTCGATTTTCGCACTTTCAAGCCAATTTTCGAATAAAATTATTAATTAATTATACTTTATTTATTATTTCCAGATCGAATAAAATAAGAATTTTTGGGCATTTTAAATTAAAACACCAAACATTTAGTGCGAATAAAAATTACTATATAAAGGTTATTTATTATACGGAGAAACTATTTAAATCTTTTTAAAGTATATTAGAACAACTGACTTTTGACCTTTGACCAATAAAAGGATTTAAGCTTGTTAGCTCTCAATCATTAAAAAATTAAAGTTAAAAATTTTCAATTGGATTGATATGATGCTTCAAATTACAAAACGTTTCATCAAATACCTTTAACTTTCACAAATTTATATAATTTTCTTTGTTTTACATTTTTTATAAATGGTCTTGAACGATGCAACAAATCCTTCCGTTTACATATTTTTTTGKTAAGATTTCAATCTGGCCATCGCTCATTTCCAATTGATAAAGGTCAAAACCTACTGAACTCGATTAGCTGTCAAAGTTCAGTAGGTTTTGACGTTTAACAGTGAGAGAGGAGTTAAACATCCCTTTATCTCTGTTCATACTTTACCAACGCAGCGGCATGGATAATATGATACGAGACCATAGATAACTTGATCAGACCCTCTTTTCTTGCTCTCTCGCTTGTCAGCTGGTAGGGCACCCAGATCTATTTTCTGAGCTGGCAACAAAACACAATCAGGGTGCCTTCAACCAGCAGTTAGTGAAAAAGGCGGGACCCACGACAGTCGGGTCTACGAAAACCGGAACGGACCCGGATTTTTATCCGGCCAAGGACTGTCAACTCGGCAGAATTCTGCCGAAGAGCAGCGCTATAATTACTTGACGAAATGATGAAACTGTGTGAACATATTTTGGCAAAATAAATGTTTATGTAAATTAATTAATAATTTTGCAATTAATAATTTGTATTTGTATGAATTTTCAAAGTATTTAATTTAGTGTTTTGTATAATTTATTAAATACCCAAGCTAATATTTTTCAACAGTGGTATCATTGGCAAATGTTGTAAAAATGCGAGTTTTGACAGCTCTCTCTCGAACCAAAGTTTTTCGTATCATATTATCCATGTCATATTATCCAGGGATAATGGGATGCCCAACTTATTCCAGTGTGAGAGCGCCTCTATTTTGATTTTTTTTTTAACATTTTCCATTATAGCCAGATTGAACAAAATAAAAATTGTTGGGCATTTAAATTAAAACACCCAACATTTATTACGATTGCAAATTATTATATATTGGACTTTTAATATATGGCGAAACTACTTAATTCCTTTTTATGGTATATTAAAACAACTGACTTTCGATATTGCAATACTTAATAAGGTGAATTAAGCCTGTTAGTTCTAAATCAATAAATGTTTTTAATCATTTGTAAAAGAAAATTAGTTCTATTATGCATCAAATTACAAAACGTTTAATAATATATATTTAAATTTCGCATTTTCTTTGATTTTCATTATTTTCAATTTTTATTAGCGATCTTGAACGGCGGCAATAAATTCCTCCGTTCACATATATTTTTGGTATAATTTCAATCTGGCCGTTCCAGACATTCGAATTGCAAAACGTCAAAACCAACTGAACCCGATTAGCTGTCAGAGTTCGATAGGTTTTGACGTTTAACAATTGCTCTCTCACTTCCAGTGAGAGAGGAGTTGGGGATCTCATTATCTCTGATATTATCTCTCTCAAAAAGTGGTGACTATTGCCAGAGATAAAGAGATGTTTAACAATTGCTAAACGTAAAAACCACCTAAACTTTGACAGTTGATCGAGTTCAGGAGGTTTTGACGTCTAGCAATTGGGAAAGAGGGACGACCAGATTAAAATCCTGCCAAATTATTATTCGACTGGAGACATTTTTCATTTTGTTGTCTCCATATGTAACGGCCATTAGTTCGAAGAATAGCGAGGGCGAAACTGCACGTAGATTGAAAGATGTGAGTATTTTTTAACTTTTATTAAATAAATTTGCATTTATTTAATACTTTTTTATTTTATTTTACAGACAAAATGCCGAAAACAACCAGCAGTTGGAGGAAATGTGTTGCTGGCTGCAGCGAGGGAGGAAGAACATTTAGTTTTCCCAACAGTGGAACGGATCTCGAACGGTGAGWRAAAAACATTAAATAGTGCAAAAAGTGTTTGTGAATTTGTGGAAAATTTTGTTGAAATAAATGTTTCGATTGTGCAATGGAAATAGTAAAATAATAATTTTTGATAATGAAATTGAATTTCCGTTTGTTTTTAAGTGTGATGTGCTGAACAAGYAGAGCGCGACAGACTGCAAGCGACATCTGTCAAATATTAAAATACACATGTTCTTATGGACACAGTTATGTAGTCGTGCAGAGGCCTTAATAGATTAGAAAGTTTTTAATTATAAATTAGAATTCGGGGCATAAATATTGGCATATGTAAATACGTTTATTTTTATAGTTTTAAGTATTATA